TGATTTCACACCCCGCGGTTTCATCCACAAGTTGATCAATATTTGGAAAAGGAAAGGGGTCCATGGGACATGCCTTGTTGAGATCCGTGTAGTCCACGCACATGCGGAATGAGGGCGGTTTTTGTGCGAGGACTACGTTTGCCAGCCATGAGGGGTACTTTACTTCCTTGATGTGCTTGATAGAGAGGAGCATGGCGACCTCCTTCTTCACAAATTCCCTCCTCTCGGCCGAGAGGGGTCTCCTCCGTTGCTGTACTGGTTTGGCCGAGGGGTCCACTGAGAGGCGGTGGGTGATGACCCTTCGGCTGATCCCCGGCATGTCCTCCGGCCCCCATGCAAATACAATGGAGTAGGCGCGGAGGGCGCTGATGATGCTGGTCTTCAAGTCTTCGGGGAGCTTGGCTCCAATCTTCACGACTCTCTCCGGCTTGGCCGGATCGAGCGCGAAGTCTTCTACCTCCTCGGCTGGTTCAGCCCTCGGCCTCCTTTCTTCCGCTTCCACAGTTCCGGTGATGGTGTCAACGCGGAACTCCATCTTGCTAACCTTCTTTGTTACTTGAAGGTAACAAGCGCGTGCAAGCTTTTGGTTCCCCCTTGAGTAACCGATTCCCCCCTCGGCTGGGAACTTGAGGCAGAGGTGAATCATTGAGATGACAGCTTCGAGATCCTCGAGGGCCGGCCGGCCGAGGATGATGTTGTGGGCGCAGTCGATGTTGACGACGTCGAACTCCACCTCGAGCTTGGCTCTATGGAGCCCGTCACCGAAGAACTAGTACCGGGAGGGTTATAACCCCATCGGAATCAATGGTGTCGCCGGTGAAGCCGATAAGAGGGGTCTTGATGGGACGAAGGGACCCCCTCTCCAGATGCAGCTCTCTGAAGGTACTGAGGTACATTACGTTGACGGAGCTGCCCGTGTCAACGTAAGTTCGGTGAATAATAGTGTCATTTATTTCTGTGCGGATGAAGAGGGCATCCCTGTGTGGGGAGGACCCTCGGGGGAGATCAACGTTGGTGAAGGTAATGGGTTCCTCCCTCAGCCGTTTTATTGGGGGCATATGAGTGACTTCCCCCACGTAAAGTGATTGAGCCCACTTCTTTCGTTGACTCGTAGAATCACCCCCGGTATTGCCCCCCGTGATCATGAGGATGTGGCGTTTTCTTTCTTGGTACCAGGGGTACTCCTCCTCCTCTTCTTCCAGATTTCCAATCTCCCTCTTCTTGCCGAGGGGGATGGTGTTGGGGTTGACCCATGCATTTGCTCTCGCAGTTTGCCCTCGGGTTGGCCCTTGGTGAGGGGGGCCCTGTTGCTGAGGGCCCTGGATAAACTGGGACAGATGGCCCGCTTGTATCAACCTTTCGATGGCCGCCTTCAGCTGATGGCAGTCATCGGTCCTATGCCCCTGGTGCCGGTGGAAACGACAGTAGGGGTAGTTTGGATTGATGACAAATACTTCCAGGGGTGCGCGTGAATCTCGCTCCACTAGGCCCTTCTCCTCAGCAAAATCAAGAATGACGCTGACGGGGTGCGTCAAAGGTGTCCGAGGGTGCTCCAGGAGGACAGGCTGCGCCCAAGCCCTCGGGTTCCCCTTGTAGCCTCCTCCGCTGTAGGGCCCTTATGTAATCGCGCGGAGGCTCAATGATGAGGCTCCTTGAGAAGTTCTCGGGGCGGCGTACTGTTTGGAGGAAGGCCAGGAGGGTCCCGTCGTCAGCGCCATCAACTTTATCAGCCTCCGTTCTCCAGCACTCTAGGAAGTCCCGAAGGGTCTCCTCCTTCCTCTGCCTCACTGTCAGCAAGTGGGAGAAATGTTTTCTTGTGCGGCGCCTTCCCGCAAATTGTGTCAAGAATCGGTTGGCGAGTTCTTGCCATGAGTCAATGCAGCCCTCGGGCAATCGATTGAACCATTCGTAGGACGGCCCCTCTAAGGTGGAGAGGAACCAGCGGCACAAATATTCATCTGATGCCCCCACCATCATCATGCTGTTTTGGTACCTGCTGTAGTGCTCTTGGGGGTCAGTCTTTCCGTCGTAGGGCTTGATGAGCTGCCCTCGATATTTTTCCGGGATCCGGGCCGCCAATACCCTTGGGGTAAATGGCGTCCGGGTCCGGAGCTGTATGGTGGGTTCCCCGGAGCCCTCGGCTATCTTCTCCTGCATTTCCTCCATCTTGGCCAACATCGCCTCATACTTGAGGTCTGTATGAGGGGCAAAAGTGGTGGCGTGTGCTTTGGTGGCCTCCATCTCGTCGAGCCGGCGCTGGAGGGCCGCAATGATTTCGTCCCGGGGGTCCTTCGGGAGGGCCTCCGCCCCCTGCGAATGGACGCGGGCCGAGTGGGCCTGGTTGATTTGGTGGCGGGCGTCGTTGGCATGGAGATGTGCCTTGCCATTGTCCTGAGGGGGACGCCTTTCATCGGCCCTGGAGATGGATCCGCCACTTTCCTGAGGCCTCTGGAACGCCTTCCCCCCGAGGCGGTCTTGCGCCCCTCCGAGTCTCTCGAGGGCGGAGGTCCGGAGTTGTTCCTTGTTTACGTTGTGGTGGTCCCGGGACTGGACTTCCTGGGAGGCCGTATCTCGGGCCACGACCCCCTCGGAGTTCCCAATCCGGAGGACCGGGTTCCCGAGGGGGTGTGGATGAGGGGGAAGCATAATATTCTCCCCGACCTGAGGTTGAAGGGGAACCAAAGTGCCGAAGGCACCCGGGTTCTGGGTGAGCGTCTGGATGAAGGCGGAGAGCGCCGATTGTACGTCGATTGTGATGACCGGAGGGCTAATTTGATTCTCGCTCCGGTCCTTCTTCTTGGCCTCGATGCCGAGGCGGGCATCAGGGGCATTCTATTGAATTTGATGGCGTAGGTCGACAGCCGTCTGGTCCAACCCGGTGATGACGCCGCCCCCTGGAGCCCTGTTAGAGGCTTCGGGGACGTCGACTTCGCCGAGGGCCAGGTTCTTGTCCTCAACATTTCTGGAGTTGGCGCGAGTTGTTCTCACCATTTTAGCTAGGTGTTTTGTGTTTGGTCGAGGGGGAGGGTTTCTTACTTGATTGTTCGACCTCTCAACGAGAGCACCAAATGATGGATAGTGTACCCGGGGGTAGCTTATCCGAGGGGTTATTACGGGGAATAACTAGAGAGAAGTCAGAGCAAGTAAGTAGAGAGAGAGAGTATATTTGAAAATGTATTCTGCCTTTTCAGCATGGTTTACAACGGGGAAATGGGGTGCTATTTATAGTAGCAATAAATGCCAGACAGGGACACGCGTCAAGCGTCCATTGGCCGAGGGGTCACCTCAACTGGTTGGCGCTGGCAATCGCATGTGGCCGCATTTAATGCGGCTGTTGGATGTGACGTCGTACTTGGTACGGTGATCCATACGCATGTGGAGCGGATATCATGTCGGAAAAGGTGCCCTCGGCTGTAGATGACTAGCCGAGGGCTCTGAGCACCGGGGACCCCCTTAGTGCTGAGGGCTCTAGGTGCCGAGGGCTACTGATTTTCGCCGTTTTCTCCCAGTAACCTTGTTTTCCTGATTTGGCCATCCTGTGAGAACTGGAGCCTTCGGCCAGGGGGCCGAAGGCACTCCTGGTGTGCACTGTGGGCCGCTTGGTACTCTAGACGATGTGATTTGGACCTGTTGTGCTTCCTGGGCCTATTGGGCCTTTATTGGAGTAGTAGGAGTCTGTGGACCGGGAGTTCTCGGGCCATATACTCCATCACCACCATTGATGCCAACCTTTTTATGAAAAAACCAACATAAATCGAAAATGCCATCTTAATGGAATTTTTAAAGAAAAATATGGAATTTTTAAAGAATAAAAATGTCATTTTTATGATATTTTCAAAAAAAAAAAATTGACAATTGTAACAAGAAGTAAACAACGCCAGTTTTGTTTCACCATTATTGATGTTGGTCCCGTTTATTTCTTACAATTGACAAACACAGCAATTTCAAAACTGAAACATAAGGAAGAAGAAGAAAAACTACAAAAAAAATTCAAAAACATTCGTATAAAGCAAAACAAAACACAAAGAGACAACATGGATGCAAAGAAGAAAGAAGAAGACACAGATCTTGACACCGCAGCAACCACACCAGTTTCAGATGAATTAAATTGAAATCGGAGGAGTGCGGTGAAGAGAGACCTCACGCTCGCTGCCGTCTCTCTCCGGCGCTCGCTACCGCTGTTCGACGGCACTTCTCGCGGCGCTCGTTGCTCACTGTTCCCATGCCATTGAAGCCTTTCTATGCGCAGAGATGCAACAATGATGAGTGCGACGAAGGTTATGAGGGGCCGGTCGAAGGGTTGAAATGAATTGGAAGGGTAAAATTGGAAGAATAGTCCTATTTAGGGAATAAAATTGAGAATTTCAACAACAGTTTGATCCTATTTGAGGCTATTTTCCCTTTCTATTAAGGTATTATATTTAAATAATATTTAAAGAAAAACTCTTCATTATTCCTAGCAAAAGTATGTAAATTGTACTGTAACTATTAAATGAGACTATAAACTACTCGGCATTACATTAAACTAGAAAATCTGAAAGTATAAATTGCAAAAACTATTTTTACAATTGTCACAACTTCATATGTGAACCGTGAAGATACTCATTTATATTTCTGAACATCCGTGCTGTTATTGCTCAATAATACTTCTTTAAAAGCATATTTTCCCTTTCTTGTTCTTCCGTTCTTCCCGTAACTACCTCCCTTCTTAAATAAAAGGAAATCTTCTTGTCAAATAAAATAAAATAAAAGCAACTCAATTTTACACTATTCATATATTTTACTTTGATTATGTTTTATTTATTAATGTATTAATATATATTTTTGAAAAAAATATTATTAGATTTGTCTTATCGTAAATTTTCAAAATCTAATTTTTTAAATTTTTTATTAATAGAGAATTATACTCTCTTCATCCCGTAAAATTCTTCCGACTTTTCTTTTTTGATCATCCAAACAAATTTTCTCACTAGCCATTTTTGACCTTCATTTCATATTTTATTAAGAGACAGAGTATCTTCCTACGACCTACTATTCTTTGTCAAAAAGTAGAACTCTTGCTTGAAGTTCTTCCCTTGCTCTTGTTTTTTATCTTCTTCTTTTACAATGTTTCCAGAATCAAACAGCATGTAATATAAGATTCCTAGTGATTGCAAAGAGATTTGGTGAAAATGAGTGTTTCTCTATCAGTGATGACATTCAATCTGCTTGAAGATCAGGCAGAAGAGAGCCCGAATTCGTGGGATAAAAGGAAAGATTTATGTATCAGTGTCATCACCAGTTACTCCCCAATCATTCTTTGTACCCAGCAAGGTCAAATCTTGATTTTACCCTTTTTATTTCTTGAAATGGTTGATCTGGGAATAAATTGCGGCTTCAGCTATTTATTTCGGAGTATAGCTCACTCAACCGCCCCCACCCCCGACCTAGAGAAGGAGAAAGATTTAATCTTTTACAATGATGGTTGTTAATATTGCAGCACTTTTTGGTGTTAGGTGTGAAGTCACAGTTGGACTATCTTCAACAATGCTTGACAAGTAAGGCTATACTTGACATTTACCCTCTCTGCAAGTTTCTCTAGTTGCCCAACCAATGCACTTCATGCCAATATTGTGCTATAATTGTACTAATATGTGCACATGAAAAATTTAAAAAGCTAATGTTAGGGTGAGAGTGCATAAGTACTTTTGGGTGTTCCAAATTGCTACTAGAAGCAATTTTAATTGCAGAAGCAGTTTCCAGAAGTAGATCCAAACACCTCCTAATTGCTAGGATCATTTTCCTATATATTGCTGAAAACAGGTGGACACTGCCAACTTCTGTATTGCAGAATGGTTCTATAAAGTATTTTTACACTTCTAGTCCACCTGCTTATTGTAATATTGACAAGAGACACTTGTGGTGCCCAATTTTATATTTTTTGCTTTTAGTCCATGATTATTGTGAGGCCGACACGTTTGTAATTCATCTTTGAATTTTGGCACAATAGTCGAGGCTCTAAAAGTGTGATTTTTAGAATAGTCAGAGGATTAGAATAGAAACATTCAAAGATTTCAATAATCGGAGAACTAAAAGTGAAAAGTTAAAAGAAGGTATCAAAATTGTCATTGCAACAATAGTGAGAGGAGTAAAAGTGGAAAAACTCACTGTAATCCCGTAGTCCATAGGAATATACTCAGCAAAAGGACATAACCATATACTCCCTCCGTCCTGAATTAATTGTCTTGTTTGCTTTTGCACAAGTTTTAAGAAAGTGGTTGAAAAGGTAAAAGTTGTGGTTGAGATTTGAGTAGAAAAAGGTGAATTGATATGAGCCACCCATTATTGCCAAAAGAGGAAACAAGACAATTATTATGGGACGGACCGAAAAGGAAAGCGAGACATTTATTTCGGGACGGAAGGAGTAAATTTGCAATATTGTTTTAAGTCCTGCATGAGTGATTGGTTGTAAAATTCACTTAATAGTCTTAAGAAATTCTACAAGACTACAACACTGCCCCCACCCCATCATTTTTGCCTAGTCAAAGAAATAAAGGAACTTACCATTCAGAATTATTTTCATTTATCTTTCATCTAATTTTAGGTTATAATCAGTTTGGAGTTTCAAGAAAAGGGGCTGATGACATTTCAGATCAGCACTGCACCATTTTTTATGACAAGGAAAAGGTATAATCCCTTTACATGGTTTATATCTTATAAGTTTATTTGTCTACAATCCTTTTAAAAGCTAAAAATAAATACTATCTATTTTTTTCTGCTATGTCACTACTTATCATTGTCACTCAGCCAAGTTGTAATAAACAACGACAATACATTAATTAATGCTAAACATTGACTCTAATCAGCGATGTTTGGATCTACTTCTTAAAACTGATTCTGCTCCTTTAGGGAGCAAAAGCAGATATTGGAGTGTTTGGGTGAAAGTGCAGAAGTACTTCTAGGTATTCCAAATTGTTCCTAGAAGCAGTTTATTAGAAGCTGGGGAAGACCAAACTAGAAAAACTGATTATGATTCTCTTTTAAAAGCAGAATCAAAATCAGTTTTTCAGAAGTTGGTATCCCTAACTTCTAAAAAACTGCTTCTAGGAGCAATTTGGAATACCTAGAAGTACTTAGGCACTTTCACCCAAACACTCCAATATCTGATTCTGCTCCCAGGAGCAGAAGCAGTTTTAAGAAGCAGATCCAAACATCCCCTGATTCTAATTCTACTTCTGCTTTTAAAGTAGAAGCAAAAGCAGAATCAATTCCAAACACCCCTCAGTTAAACTAATCCAACCCAAGCCTTATATCCCATCTATTTCTGAATGTGGAAGTCTAATTGAGTCTAACCTGTTGGCCATTTCCGATTGGACTCTCCTCTTGAAACTTTGGCATCTAATTTCCAATTAGATGTCAAATGATGTGACATATAATTATATAAACATTAGCTGCTAGCCAAGACAAATGAAGATGATAAACAATCTTGATCTCCCTTGAAGTGGTGTGATAACTAGGGCAATGGGTCCCTAGCCCGAGCATATGAGGTGGGCCAGACCTCCTTTGATGCCACGATAGAATGGATAACTAGACCAGATTCATTGAATAAGATTATAACAATGCACATGATGTCAAGTCATACTAAAAGATTGTATGCAATCATTTAACTTGTCAAACCCAACATCTTATGAAGTCATTTGTTTATATTAAATCTTGGACTTGGAAATGAAAGTCTTAACACGCTTGTTCTGAATGAAGGTGGAGCTTTTGGAAGGTGGAACGTTTTGGATGTCAGAATCGCCTTCAGTGCCTGGAAGCATGTCTTGGGGGTCCACAGTACCATGCATTGCGACTTGGGCTATATCTTTTTGTTGTTTCATAAGCTTTCCTAGTACCATATTTAAATTTGCAATTATTGCTTTGGTTGCTGGGAAATGCTCTGCCGGATTGTTGCCTTGACAGCGTTGTGTACACATTCCAACTAAAAGGAGTTGAACCACCCGGCTTCAAATTTCAGATAGTTAATACAAACATGGATGAGATTTCTGCCCGGGCCAGAAGGCGGGGTGCTTTGTTGACATGGCAACACATTGCATCTTTACCGCCTAGCTTGTCAGTTGTATATTGTGGAGGTTTTAACACACAAAAAGAATCAACTATGGGGCGTTTTCTTCTTGGCAGATCTAGGTATGACAGTTTTTGTTAATATTGAATAGCGTGAGTTTCATTGGTAAAGCTGGGTTTATCAATTTATTATGATATCAATTCCAATGGTATTTTTGGTTTTTTTACCAATTTCGATTATACCTTTTAACATGGGCAGAAATGGGGAGTTGGAGTTTGCACTCCACTTTTTCATCTAAATATGAGTTTCCACTCCATTTTTTGAATCATTAATATATACACCTCAAAGTTGAGGATTAGCAACCCATATTTTCTTTGAGATGGGAGTTTGCACCCCATTCTTAACAGATTTTTCTAACTCCAGGGTGCAAAGTTTAATATTCCGGAAAAGGGGGTGTTTTCTCAAATTTGGATGAAAAAGTGGGTATGAATTCCAATTCTCATGTTAGCTGCCTGTACAGCCGTTCTTTAAAACTTGGACATCTTACACACTCATGTGCAGTGGCGGATCAGAAAAGCTTATTTTTTGGGGGAAGGCAAGTGTCAGAGTTAAACTGTAACAAAATTTACATAACAAATAAAAACTTACATACTTCCATTTGTTGGAGTTTTTCCTTTCACTCTTTCTTCAAGTAAAAATCTACTATGTATAATTTTTTGTGGCAAAATTTTTTCAGCAATTTCTTATTTTAGAATAAGGTTAGGCGTAACTCATCCCCGAAAGACTATAAAGAAGTGAAGATTGTCTAACACGTATTCAGTGCTTCATTGATTCATTCGAAGTAAATATTGAACACTCCTTACCAATACACTCATAGACATATAGGGTAGTTGCATTGTCAAGTATGATGTTACAACTTACAAGCACCTAAGTTAGAAAAGAGAAAACTATTGTCGATTGTTTTTTTCTGTTCAGCTTCTTTGACACTACCACAATACAGGGAACATGGAGTTGTGGGTGATATGAGGGATGCTTGGCCGAATGCTCGTGTGAGGAAAAACATGTCCCTTATACGCACTTATCACGGATTTAAAGGTGGTCTTTTGTTTTTCCTGAGTCCCATTTTGCCATTGTTAAAAAATTTGTCTCACGTGTTCTTAAACTGAAATAACAAATCAACATATACCATAGGCTCCTCCTATTGAGTTGATCATAGAGTGTGCCCCTATGTAAAGAAAACTTACCAAATAAGATTTTAGAGTGCTCTATGAAACAACAAACCGATATTATGAAATAACAAACTAACATATAAATATATAATAGATCGTGGGGTGCTTTTGTTATCAGGTTAACGCTATTAGGATTTTACCCTAAGTTTTAATCTTTTAATCACAGTACTTTTTTATACTATCAGTTGACCTTTTAGGTGGAACCCTAAATGTTAATAGCAATATTATTTAAATATGTATATGAACTCTTATAGCCTCATACTCGTTTATCATTGTTGATTTTGCTAGGTGACAAACACGGGCCAGTTGAGTGCCTCAAGCTGATTCTAAGAGCACTCTGCCTTTGCTGGGACCGGCAAACTCAAGATCTTCATGTTGACTGGATACTGTTTAGAGGCAGGTCTCTTGTGCCAGCCTCGTGTGAAGTGGTGAATGACAACATTGATGGGTTTTACCCATCTTCTCATTATCCAGTATTTGCCGACTTTATTCTTCCTCGCTCAGTGAGATTGATCGAAATGCCCACACAAGATGGGAACTAAGGGTGATGAATCAAATTTTGAATGTCTTTCTCGATAGTGTAAAAGTCAGTTTTATGTTCAAAATGTCCATTTCGTTATAGTTTTTGAATCTTTTTGGAATATCACTTCAACTTCCATTTTTGGGGGTCGGGGTGGTACATAGCGTGGTTTGAGAATTGTGTTGGTTGTGCTTTCTTTATCAGCAGAGCGCATTGCATTATTACATCTTTACATTGTCCTCTACACCATAGTAAGTTATTCTTATGTGGTATAATATAATAGGTGAGTCTATAAAGAGGCATATGTTTCAAGAAACTCCCAAATCCCAATGAGCTATTTACACAGAATAAATAGGGGCCGTGAGGATAGTCCAAGACAATTACAATACAATAAATATGGCGTCAATTCCGTCAAATATCCTCCATTTTTTCGTTTTCTATCCCTGTTTGAGATCTACATTGGTCATGTTGCTTTTGTTAGGTTTGGCAATACAAGAGCTGCTAACTAATGAGCTGATTGGGAAATTGGGATTAGTCCAAGTTCATGCAAATTAGCTTTGTATCATTTGTACTTTTGAAGGGAGCAAAATCTTGAATGTTATTCAAATACAACTAAAGATTGACTCAAAACAATTACCCGTATGACAAAGTGTTCCTGCTACACACTTTTTGTTAATGGTCAAGGTATCTGCTTATCTGATAGCGAGCAGTTCAAAAGGGTAAAATAGTACAAGATGGAATATGAATAAGTAAACAAGTTGGAAAAAGAGTATTATGTAATCGATATATTTATTATAGTTGTCACAAAAGAAAAATGTATAAATATACTCTTATAGTATGCTTGTTCTATTTTTTGGAGCAAATATACTTTCGAAGTTTATGTGGAAAATGTATACATACCCCTGCCCTGAACTTTTAAAAGGTGTAAAAATATTCATCATGTTTCTATAAAAGAGCAAATTTACCCCTTTTGACTTTAAATATATAAAATAAATTTCTAAAAATCCAAAAAAAACATTATAAAATTGAAATTGAAAAATAAGATAAAACTAAAAATCTACTTATGCCTAATTCTCCCTTTTATTATTTTTATATCACCATTTAATATTGTTAGTATAAAACGTTATTTTAAAACTTTACTATATATTAATTTTCGTTGTAAAGATTAATAGTTTTTGTATTTCTTGCACTATAAAATTACATATTTTGTATGATGATAAATAGTCCAAGATTACAAAATAGTGAATTTATTTTTATTAAGGTTAAACAAAATCAAAGAATTTTAATTCAAAAATGAAACAATGTTCAAAATTTTGAAACAAGACTAAAATTAATACTTTATGAATTTCAAGTGCTTCATTTACATCGGAAAATTAATGATTTTGAAATTTAGAATTGAAGAGTTAATATTTTAACATAAAAATAAATCTTTTTATGAACACTTTAATTTTTATTTTTCAATTTATAATTAATAATTTATTTTTAATGTTTTAAAATTTCTTTTATTTATATAAAGTCAATAAAGAGTAAATTTACTCATTTATATGAACATGAGGGGTATTTTTGCACCTATTTAGCTTTTTTCCCTTTTAATCGCGTTTTAAACGCGTACTTCTTTTTGAACAAAAAACACGTTTAAAACGAAAAATAATGTCGGTCCGTTTAAAAAGAAAAAAACTCCTACTTCCCGTATAAAACGCATTTTCCCCGTATTTTACTAAAAATAGAAACATGAATTGATCAATTGAATGAACACATTAAATGCATAGGAGATCAAGAGTATTGTAAAACCAAAAAAGAAAAGCTCCTTCATGTGACCCCATGTTTTTGAATTGCTAAAATACAATTATTAAATACTAAAATTAATTGCATGGTGCCTAAAGCTAACATTCTTAATGACTAAAACTTAAAATACTTCAGAGTACTAGATTTCTGATGTTTTTCCAAACAAGCATGTCAAAATTAAAGTTTTTCTAAACCTGATATTTTTTAGTATATACTTTTACACATAAACAATAAGAAGCGCGTACGTGTAGCAGTCGCATATGTCATCCGTCATCTTGATGAAAACGATGAATTTAAATTGAGTGTTATATGATGATCATATAAAAATAATCATTTTAACTTATTCTCAATCTATTTTTTTATGTCTTATTTGTTGACATTAGTTTACAAAATCATGTCTTCTACTTAATTACTCCGTACTATTTTTATTTTTTTCATCGACTTATGCAATTACGAAATATTCTTTAATGTAATAATGAGATTTGCTACTTGAATATGTGTATACTTTTATTTCTTTTTACTATATATGTTATTTTGTGAAGTATATAATTTAAATGTTCAAAATAGTACCCGTATTTTTTGTCCGAATTTTTGTAACAGATACCGTATTATACACGTATACGCATTTACACGTTTTTTAAAAGTCAACGTTTTTTTGAACGAATTTTTGACCGTTTTTTCATTAATGTTACTAAATAAAACGCGTACATATTAAACCTCGTTTAATTCCCGTACCGTATTTAACTAACTAGGTTTTTGCACCTTTTAAAAGTTCAGGAGTATATATGTATCTTCACATAAACTTCAGGGGTATATTTTATTCCGAAAAATAGATTTATGTGTATATCTGTTCCAACACCCATATTACAGGAGTATATTTGTACCTTTTTGCTCGTATACGCGTAATAGTTATTTTCCCCCCGATTTTATTAGCTTTTAATATGGCATGTTTATAACTAAAGTGCAATTTTTTTATTTTAGTTGTAAAAATCATCAACATCACATGCCTTTCTAGAAAACAAAATGAAAATAAATTTTGTACATTTCAAAATGAAAGAGGAGATATTAGTTTAGGAAATAAAGACAAATACAACAACATCCAAGCCTTAATCCAAAAAGAATTTGGGATCAACTAACATGAATCATCCATGATATCGATGTCAAAACGAGAAGACAAAAGAAAACAAAAACAAAAATAAAAATAAAATGGATAAGATAAAGATAAATGAATATAAGAAAATAAAAGATAAAAAGATAAAAGAGCACAAAAAAACTACAAGATAAAAATAACATAAAAACATAAAAAGGTAAAGAAGTTAAACGATAAAAGAAAAAAGGAGAGAAAAGATAGAAAAGAGACCAATCGTCAACACGAATGTGCGTCCTCTACTTTGCTCTCTCCAAGACCATACTTTCATCCAACCCAAGAAGATGCATATCAGTTCTGATTCATTTAATCCAAGTCTGTTTGGGTCTTCCACTCCCTCTCCTTTATATCTCTTCTTCCCACCCCTCAAGTCGTCTAACAGGTGCATCACTCAGTCTTCTACGCACATGCCCAAACCACCGCAATTGAGACTCCCGTATCTTATCTTTTATAGGTGTTACTCTCACCTTTTGTCTGATTATCTCATTACTCAAAAGGTCTTTTGTGGTATGTCCACACATCCATCGCAACATACACATCTCTGTCACACTCATCTTTTGAATGTGACATTGTTTCACCGCCCAACACTCTACACCATACATAAATGCAGGCCTAATTATTGTACGATAAAATTTATCTTTCAGTCTAGTCGGCATACCTCGATCGCATAGAAATCCTGATACAATCTTCCATTTCATCCACGCGCCTCTAATTCTATGGGATACATCTCCATCTAATTCACCATCCTTCTGGGTTATGGAGCCCAAGTAACAAAACATATCACACACTAGTATCTCCTTACCATCAAGAGTAATCCCACTGTTGTTACTACTTCTACCTCCACTAAACTTGCACTTCATATACTCAGTCTTGGTTCGGCTCAGTCTGAAACTCTTGGTCTCCAATGCTTATCGCCATACTTCCAACTTCACTTTAACATCTGATTACATCTCATCGATCAATAGAATATTGTCGGTAAACATCGTACACCACGATATATCTTCTTGAATTGACTTCGTAAGTTCATCCATGACTATAGAAAACAAGAAATGACTCAAAGCCAATCATTGGTGCACTCTGATAGTAATAGGGAACTTTGTGGTCCTCCCTACACCAGTACGGACACTTGTAGTACAAGCTTCATGCATATCCACGATGATACTGATATACTTTCGTGAAAAGCTTTTTTAGTTAAGGCCCACCAAAGAACTTCTCGAGGTACCCTATCATATGCCTTTTCTAAGTCAATGGACACCAAATGAAGATCATTTTTAGTGTCTATGTACTTCTCTAGAACTTGTCTAAGAAGGTGAATGACCTCAATTGTTGAGCGTCCAGACATAAAACCAAACTGATTCTTCGAATTTTTCACACTTTTTAGAAGTCTTTGCTCAATCACTCGCTCCCAAAGTTTCATGGTGTGACTCATAAGCTTACTCCCTCGATAGTTGGCACATTCTTGTACATCTCCCTTATTTTTAAATAGGGGAATGAGAGTACTCTTCCGTCAACTCATTGATATTTTGTTGTTTCTCCAAATCATGTTGAAGAAACGCGATAGCCACTCAATGTCTTTCTCTCCCAAACTTCTCCAAGCCTCGATCAGTATGTCATATGGGTCTACTCCTTTCTTCCGTCCCATCTTTCTCATAGCCTCTTTAACTTCTGTTGTTTGGATCCTTCTCACGAAGTCTCAATTTACCATACACTCTGGTATAGTAAGATCATCAATACCTTACACTTTATTCCCGTTGAACAAGGTACCAAAGTATGACCTCCACTTCTCTTTTAGTTCCTCGTCCTCCATTAGTATATATTCTTTGGGGATTCCCCTCGAGCCACCACCATTTTATCTTTGGTACCCTTTGTACCTTAACCCGCCTTCTCTTTGTACCTTGAAAATCAAGCACAATCATCCTATGCTGAGTGACAACACTCTCACCTGGGATAACCTTACAATTAGTGTAGCTAGTTCTCCAATTCGTTCACACTAAAAAGTAGTCAGTTTGGGTGCTATTAACTTCATTTCTATAGATCACAAAGTGAGAGTCTCTTTTCTTGAACCAAGTGTTCATCACAGCCAACCCATATGTCGAGGCAAAACTCATAATGTTCTTCTCTGCTTCATTTGTAGTGCCAAAACCATGTCCACCATGGATACACTCAAAACCATCATGACTTGGGTTCACATGCCCATTGAGGTTGCCTCTTATGACCAACTTCTCTCCCTTTGGTACTTGTCGCACCACTTCCTTAAGATCCTCCCAAAATTGTTGAGTGATAGATGCATCCAATCCCACTTGTGATGCATAGGCACCTGCCACAGACACGATCTCATCTCCTCTTATCAACTTAATGCTCA